ACTTTTCTGTCTTCCCCCCCCCCCGTTTGTAGGCATATAATAAATATTTGTTCTAATTTGCTTTATTATTTCCTTTCTCAAATTTTTATTAAATTGAGTGGCTGATGTTGTATGTATTGATGTGCTTCATAGTTTATGCATCATAAAACACATGCTAATAGAGTATTTTTGAACCCTACTCATGAAAATAAATCCCAAGAGTTGAGTGATGAATCAGTATGGACAGACAGTTCACAGAAGTGTTTCTTTGTAAATCCTTTAAAATTTGACCATACACAAAAGGTTAAATGGTATACAGAGTGGATAGCAGAAGTATCTTTGAGGACATAAATAGTGCTTAGTACATTAAATGATAAAATGATATCATATTATAATATGATCAGTGGTATATATGTAGCCAATACAGAAATAGATAAGGCATTATTTTCTTTGATTTGTTCAGGGTAGTAAATGAATGTATTAAAGTCAGAATGTCTCGTTATATTAAAACATTTTCCTGTAATGCTGTAATATCTTAATTAGGTACAGCAGAAAACAAAGTTGTTTTTTTTCATTTGGTTAAGTTCTTTAAATTATTTTTAGCTTGGTATAGGCATCATTATCTCTTCTGCATTGGGGATTAAAAGGAAAAACCTGTGTTAAGGAAATCTTTAAATACAATATTATGTGCCAGTGTGGTTGGTGGCTGATGTTCTTGATCTTCTTAGGAGTCATGCCTAGAATCTACTCCTTTTATGTGAGTAATGTTGAGATTAATTGAAGAGCTATTGAAAATGAATGTGTAGATGACCACTTAATCATCTTCCGCTTTTTTGTGCCTCCATAGGTACATGGACTGTATCGCACAACAGGTGCTAGTTTTGAGAAGGCCCAGCAAGAGTTCGCATCTGGTGTGATGTCCAACAAAACTGTCCAGACCGCAGCTGCAAATGCAGCGTCCACTGCAGCAACTAGTGCAGCTCAGAATGCTTTCAAGGGCAACCAGATTTAGAGAATCCTCCAGCAATGCACTGTTACCTTTTGACTGTACTTTTTCTCCACTTACTGTATTCTATAAATATTTTTATGTTCAAAACACACAGTATACACAGCATGTATATCTCCTATTCACTTGTGCATGGGCAAAAACTAGAAAAACTTCCATGTCTTATTATTTACCTAACAGTTTCTTAAGATTTTAGTGCCCCTTTCAGAAAAAAATATTACATGCTAAATAAGTATTCTCCATATTTTGGGGGCGATGAATGTTCACATTATTTCAGGGGTGAGACACTGAAATTAATATGGTACTTATGATTAAAAATGCATTTAGTACTAGCTACAGTCATTCAAGAATCTTAGACGTAAGGATTGATTACACATTGGAGCAGTAAACTGATGCTTCATTTCTTTTTTCTTATATTGAAAGAAATAGGCCATGGGAGACTTAGAGATTTTTTAATTGGCTTGCTTTTTAGCAGTTTCAGTCATCAGTGAAGCGCCTATGTGCATTTCGTAGTAGATAATGTAAATTTTATCTTTTTCTTTTCTTTTTTTAGAGTAGTTGATATTTTGATATCTATGATCTTGCATGGGTACAAAGTTTCTAAAAATAGTATTTTGGGTTCTGCACTGCTTATAGTTGTACAATTGGGGAGTCATTTGTAGAATTATATAAATGATTTTCTGTAATAGTTTCTTTTAAGTAAAAGTTTATTGGGGTGCAATATGAGAATATATTGTGCAGTGCATTATCCAAAAGAAAAGGTAGAAAAATTGATGGGATAGAATGTAGTGATGAGAATACCTTTTTTCTTTTTAATTTTCAGTATTCATATCATAGTAAAATAGTACTGTGTGGAAACTTTGGTATATTCTTGTGGCTACTCTTCTTAATTGAACTGAGATTGTGTTTGGCAGCTCTTTTGGGGTGTGTGTGTGTGTGATTTTTAACAAAGGTATTCAAGTCTAGCCTAACTCCTTGTCCATAAAGAACATACAGTATTTAAGGGATTTTTTTTTTTTTAGCCTCTCATCTCTAGTGGCATTAAATATAAAAAGACTCTGCCATTTTACATATAGTTGAATCCCTAGTACATATCAGTCTTTCAATTTTTGAGACAGACTGTATATATTAAAATTTTTCAGTAGTAGAAAAAAGTGAACATTAAACTTGCATCAAGCAAGAAAATATACAATTGAATGCATTAATTATGAATATAATCACTTTAAAATTGTTACTCTGCAGCACAGGAGTTCATTCTTATAGTGTACTTGGGTTGAAAGTTTGAATGATCTTTAATACTGATTAAGAGGCTCAAGACATTTGTAAAGTCATGATACTGTGTTTTGGAAGTCATTAGCTAATTTAAGATTACAGAATAATAGGTAGTGATTTATTCAACTTGATTTTAAGTAAGAATCATTTTTGGATTCTATTATTTGAGACTCACATCCCTTTATAAAAATATCAGCTGGGCACAAATGGTTAGCTTACTTTCATTCTTCCCCCCAAATCTGGAATTAGAATGAGTTTCATGCTGGGGCTGGATGGTGAGCTCTCACTACTTATGAAGGAAGCTTTGCATGATAGTGCTAGTAAGTGACACAGATCCATCCAAGTGGTGTTTACATTTGATTTATTTGGGAGTTTTTTGAAGTAATATACTTGGAATATATTTCTTTTATTTTGATGAAAATAGAGTACAGAGTATGAATTTAAAGCTGTTTGTGAATATTTCTGATCAGTGATCTCCACCTACTTTCTCAACCAAATAAGCCAGTTCAAGTTTTTCAGAATCTATAATCTTATTGAAAATTTGTTTCATCTGTGTGCTCTATTGAGTGTGGGTTTACATTCAGAATATTAACCACAAAATACAAGAACACTATGTCCATTATTAATTTATATCTCAAGTCCACTTTTGCTTTTCTTTAAAGTGCAAATGAAAGATACATCATAGAGACTTTTGAAAACTGCTGAGCTACTTCAGGAACAGAAATGCTTTTATCTATTCTGTAGATATCCCCCTTGTTAAATAGCGAAGAATAATTACAACTAACAGTAGTACCTTTTTTGTGCGGATGAGGAAAATGTTATAAATTCAGTTATTTGGATTAATACAGGCTTATGAGAGAATTGTTTTTTAAAAACATAAATGTGCATTAAAATGAGGGCAGTGTTTATAGTTTGATAAGGTGTAGGGGTTTTAAATTCTTATATTTTCTATTACTAATTAGTAAATAGTCACATTTTCACTCAGCAAAAGATTGGCATTTGATAGTGTTTTATGTTTAATACTAATATTGCTCAGTAATGAATCATGAAATGGTCTTTCACAGTGTAAGCAAGCACCCATGTCATCTTTCAGTTTGCAATATTAAGTGGTGGCTGTTTTATTTAAAACTAAAGTTTGAACACTGGAAAATTCTTGCTCAGTGACTTGTAATTTGGAACTTGGATTATTTATGTAGGGATGTTTGTATATTTTGTCAGTGAGTAATACTGAGCTGCCATCATGGTGACTGTCATGGTTCTATATAAATGCCCTCCATCTGTCCCTCTAATGTTGCATGTCTCCGGTGGTTTGGAAGTTTTGTATATTTATTGTATTAATACAAAGTGTTCTAAAATAAAACGCTGTTTAGTGGATGTTTGTTTGTTGAGGGTTTAATGTATATAGAAATTCCACATTTGAATTAAAAAGAAATCTATATAATTCTATCATTTGCTAAGCAAAATAAGCATATAAAAGATTAGTTAAAAGCTTTCATCAACATAAAATGATAATTTTTCTGTTGCATTAGACCTTCGTAGGTAGTGGAACATGAGCCTCACGCATATTAAATATTTTGACCACTTTAAATACACAGACTGCCTAGAGATTCAAAATGGAAAAATGTGTTTTGTGGCTCAGATTTTTCCTAGTGGGTTAAAATGAATGCCTCTGTCCTAGTATCGCACTGATTCGAGTGAACTTGTATTCTGTTTCCTAACCTCGCGATTTAACTCTGTTTTATGTGCTGATGAAAATACCTGTTTGAATTTTCACTTGGTTATTTGAAGAGGATGTTCAAATATAATATAAAATCATGTTCATGGTGAATTTTATTTTGAGAAATATGTGTTCAGTTAAAATAGGAACAATATTTTCAACTTTCTGGGTGTTACCTAAAAAAAAAAGTGAGTTTGGATTGCCATTGGATATATCTCCTACAAATCATATTGAGACAGTGTATGGGTTGCCTTTTAGAGGGAATTTAATGTTAAATTTATTGTTTCTGTAAATTATTTGTAGTAGCATAATGCTTTATTATCTTTTTCTGAATACACTGACATTAGCATTTAATTTTATCTTTATTGCTAAAATCTATGTTTAGACTGTTACTATACAGAACTTGTTACCATTTTACTCATATTTTCTGGTTAGAATTACCATGGCTGTCAAACACCATTTCACTGTATCGCCTTCCATTTTTTCCTTAAGGAACATGTTTAGAGGAATTTGTTGATTCCATGTGATTATGACCTTTAGGAGTGTAATAAAAGTGTTTAATGTGAAAATAATTGAGGGTGGTTTTAAAATAAAAAATACCTTATTTGACAGATTTTGAAGTACCATAGTATATATTTAGAGTAGAATACGTGTTAAAACATTAGTGTTGTTTTAAGTGCTTGTTTATTAAACTAAAAAGTTGTATCTCGATGGTTAAATATTATGGAAAGTGAAGTATTTCCGTTAGAAATTAGGGTACATTTTACAAAACAGCATGCTTTTTGTATTGATTGGTATTTTTAAACCTTGTTTTATGTCTTTATCACAGTATATAGAGAGCTAGAAAGAAATCTATAGATATTTTCTAAGCCAGGCATTGCCACTATTCTGTCCTAGACAGACACAATATCTTTAAAGATTCTGGGAAAATAGGGAAGGACTCTCCTCTGGTATTCTTACCCTTCCCTGGGGTTCCATATTTACAGTTTGACTTTGTGGTTTGGGTAGGACAAAAGTTACAACCTATAGAATTTTCATTAGCACTGTTAAAATGTTTTCAAATGGTAAGGGACATGGCTCCATGTAGGGATGCAGTGAGTGTTAAATTTTATGTTTATCCAAATCTTGACTTGTTTTTTACCTTATGTCTTTCTGGGCTTGGCATGGCTGATAGTGTAGCTAAAAACCGTCTTGCCACTAAAACCCATTTTATCTTTTCTCTAAATCAGGACAGAAAATAGTTAAGCCTCTTCTACCTAGTAATGTTTCACATACTTGTGTAAGATTACTCAGAGTATTATCTTCTTTACATTTAAACAGTTCTAATTTGTAAAATAATAGTATGAAATTTTATTTTTTTAAACACTTAGAAATAGTCCCAGAATTCTGCAGAACTTTTAAAATATTTTGTGGGGCAGTGGTTCTCAAGATAAATCATGGTTGTGGTAGTTGTTTCTGTTGGCAATTTGTACAATTCTTCAGGTGTTTCGGGGCTAGGGAAAAAAAATTACCCCAAATCACTGTTTTATCTGGTGATCACAGTGATTCCTACAATGTTACAGTCACCTCCATAAAAACTGAGCTCACTGTGCATACACATTCTCAAATTAATTTTTTTCTAGTATGAAAGTAATATATATCTGCTGAACAATTGAGAAATATGGAAAATGATAAATGAGAAAATAAAAATCTGTAACTTCTCATCTAGGGATATCACTGCCAATATTTTATTGGATTTTCCCCCCATTTTCTATGCCTACATAATATATAGAGTTAAGGGATATAAACAATGTTTATTAACTTCTTTAATTTCTAAAATTAATATACTTTAGTCTAAATTATAGGAAATATTTTTAAGCAAAAGAATGTAAAGTTGCTCATAATTTTGCACCCATAAATAACTACTATTATTTGGTTTATATCTTCTGTTAGTTTACTCAGAAGACAACTTTTCCCCTAAAATTAAAAAATAGGATTTCCCTCTGTATTCTTGTAATGTAGGGATGCTTATCTAGCTCTCACAAGCCTACTTCTTTGGGGACCCTAAAGACCGCATTGGCACTGGATGTCATCTAGCCATGTTGGACTCATGCTTGGCTCAGTAAATTTTTTTCCTGGGTAGATTTGTCCAGAACTGTGGTGTTCCAGAGATGGAACATGGGGTACTCTGCCATGAGGAAGGAGCCAGCATCAAGCCGGCATCAAGCTGAAGAATGAACAGACATCACAGACAGGCGGGATGGAAGTACATCGGAAAGAAGTTGAGATTTGCCTTTCCTATATGGGTCCAACTGCTCACCCATATTTCATCCATTACCATCAGTAATAATCTTACCCTTGTTTTCTCCCTGAGCTACCTTGAGTTGGTTTCCTGTTAAACTGGAGAATTTTAACTAATGCAGAGGTTTGTAATCTTTTTTCAATTATGTAAATATATGTTCAACTTTTTTGCATATTGCTGAATGTATTTCTATAACATTTAATAGCTGTACAGCTACCTTTATATGTGTGCCTCATAAGTTATTTTTGAAGTCCTGTTATCCTTCAGGTTCTGATTTTTAATTTTTTTATTTAAATAATTTATCAAGGAATATATTGTTGCTAAATTTGGGGACCTAGGCTTTTTTTTTTCCTTAGGAAAAAAAAAGGGGTCAAAGCACAGGCACACTTTTTAAGACCTTTATGTGCACTGCCAAACTCTCCGAAGATTGTATCAACTTACGTCTCCGTCAGCAGTGTACGAAAGGGCCTCTTTTCTAGAAAGTCTTTGCCACCGGTAGATTTTGACAAATAACCAGGAGGTCTGTTTCCTGCGCATTCCGGGCTCCCAGAGGTGGACTCATTCCCCGCTGCCTGTTCTTGTCTTGTTCTAGCCGGGAGGGACCGTGTGTCCCGCACCCGCAGGGAAGTCTACTTCCTGAGAGCACGAAGCTGAGGAGGATGCGTGCGGGATGGGAAAAGACGCGGCGGCCGCAGGTAGGCACCCAGGGAGCCCCTCTGGGTAAGATTAGATTGGTTTTAACAACAGGTTATGGTACTCTTCACACATTTTTAGAACAACTGTTCATTTTTGAGGTCAATTCTAAATGATACTGTGTTCTGTCTGGGCAGACAGCAGATTCTCTTCATTTACTTCTAATAACTTCCTGACTTACTGTGTATCAGAGACTATACTAAGTGCTTTACTTACAGCACTTTACTCTCACCAAACCCATGATGTAATTTCTATTATTTGCCTTATTTTTTAGAGGAGTGGGAAATTACCCACTCAGTGGGAGGTGTCGGGAGCAGAACGCCAGTCCAGCGGGAGGCAGCGAAACCCATGTCCCCTGGCTCCTGCCGAGTGTGAGGCTGCTTCTGCCACATGGTGCCACCCATCTCCAGGTCTCTATTTCTTTTCCATCCTTGCACATTTCCAGTAATTATACTCATTTTTTAGGGACAATGAATCCTAGGGAAAAAATCAACTACGAAAAACATTACAAGTATTTTTGATGTCTCCAGACCAAGGCCTAGCTGCACAGCATGTGGGGAGCACCTGCTGCCTGCTCTTCAGCAGTCTTACCTTACTACATGGTCGTCTGCTTTTCTATGTGTTTGGAGAAACGAATTGAAGACAAATCCTTAATTTAACTGTGAAGAAAATATGCCTCTTATGTAAGTATGATAGCTGCTTATCCTGGATGAGAGCTTATTTATAAGAAAATAGCAAAAACGGTCAGACTGTCATTTGTTTTGCCACTATCGTACACCCGATGAACACATGATGTCATCTGCAAAAGGATAAAAATCACCAGTTTCTTCTCTGAAAAGGGAGGAAAGAGCAGTGTTTTCATCAGTTGTCACCTTACGATGTGGCCTTTCTGGAATTGTAATCGGAAGTTATTTTAACAATTTACTACACAGAGATGTTGGTGTCCCCAGGGGTTTGTAAGGGCTGCCTTCTCACCCTGTACGTTCTAGGTCGAAGGAAACCCCAGCTGTTTGAGAAAGTAGACTTTGGTGTCAAACCTGTATTTGAGCCTTGGCTTTGCCACTTACTAGTTTTTTAACCTGGGGCAAATTCCTTAATTTCAGTTGTTATTTAGTGACAGTTAATTTATGTATAAAATGAGGTAATAGTTTCTCCTCATAGGGTTTTGGTGACTAAGTGAATTATATGAAGTGCTTGGCATGGTCCTTGTACATGGAATACGCACAATTAGAAACTCTTCCTGCCTGCCGTGGGTGCTGATGACTCCCAGATCTCCATCTGCAGCCTGGTCTTCCTCCACGTTTATTCCTAGCTGCACGCAGGACTTCTCATTGGCAGCCTAAGCAGGACCTTGCTGCCTTCACTGCCTCTTGGATTCCAGATCTTGGCGGTGGCATCACTTTCCACCCTGTGCCCAAACGAAATACCCAGCAGACATCCTGGACTCTTCCCTTTCTTCCCCTCCCCCTTCTCATCAGTCCCCAGACTATTTTCTCTTCCTAACATTTGTCCAGTTCCGCTCACTGTGCCATCACTTGCCTTAACGCAGGCTGGCTTCTTTTGAGAATGTACTATAGTGGTTTCCCCCAAAACATAGGCACTTGGTGGACTGCCTCCCAGCAGGTGTTAGATTTTTGAAGTTGTTTGGTGCTAATACTTAGGTTTTTGATTGATTTTTGTTTTCCCCGTGGTCTTGCTGCTCCCTGTTCTTTAGGCTTTTATCGGCATCCGGTGCACTAAGCGAAGTGAGCCGCTCAGCCTTAGCTTAGCTTGCGGGACTTGCAGGGTGAGGGGAAGCTGCAAGGAAGAGGGCAGTGGTGGGACCGCAGTAGGACGGCCCGAGCATGACTGAGCAGCGGCTGACGCTGTGAAATAAAAACAGTTATTGGTTCTTGCTGCTTTTAAGAGGAGGCTAAAAGTTTGCTTCGATGACTGTGTTCTTCAGTGTTTGTGTTGAAAAAGGTACTGAATTACTGGAAACTACTGGAATAATCCACTTAAAGGAAACGTCAAGCACAGTCAGAACCGCTCTGTGGTTTTATGTTAAGCAAAGGCTTTAAGGAGAGAGCTAGGATAAGTCAGTGTGACGTGTTCATGGAAAGTCCATCCAGCAGCAAAGCTGCTAAGTAAAAGCTAAGGGTGAAGCGGGGCGCATGTGAGCATTCCCCGCCTCTGCTGAAATTTAAAGCCCAGGTCCTGTCTCCTCTGGATTAACTCCAGAAAGATGTAATAACAGCTGAAAAAGCAACTGGAAATTTCCAATTTTGCTTGGATTATTTAGATCATAATTTGTTTGGAAAAATTTTTTCTTTAGTGATTTGGATAATTTTGTCAGCTTTTAATTTTGGTTTCTATTAGAAATCTGGAAGGTGTCAGGTATGTTTAGAAAGCAAAACATAAATGTACTTTCAGCTGTCACAGGCCCTAGGTCAGGAAAAGAAATCAACCAAAGGTTTTTGTTTATTCCAGCAGGTTAAGTGCTTCACGAGACACAGAATTGGTAAGAGTTTGTGAAAAGGGTTGCTAGTGTCATCTTTGAGAATTCTGCTCCTGGATAGCTTTTTATGGGCAGATTACCTTCAGGAAATGTGGACGTGGAACTGCTCCATGTTGGGCTTTTAATTTTGGTGTTTTTGTTGGAAGGGGAGAATGTGACCTTCAGTAGACTTTTTGTCATTATTATACATATTTTCTTTGTAAAGCCTATTTAATACTTTGGAGCATTTTCATATTTCTTAATTTTACTTTAAAATTAAGATATTTGTATAGTATTTGAGAGGGTTTTTTATTTCTCTTTATAATTATACTGATGCTTCTCCAAGGAGTAAATATATACAGTACCTATTCTGAAGTTAAAGCTAACCTAAGGTAGGGATATATATGTTTCTAATGAATAGTTAAAATACCTGAATATCTTTTTCCCCGTCATCAGTATTACATAAGTTAGTGTTTAAAATTATACACATCATATTGGAACAAATGTACTTAGACTTGAATCAGAATGAGTTTGCAAAATCAGGTTTAATTCAGATCTGGGGAAAGGAGGGGAGTACGTTGTGAAAATACATATGCACAGGAACCTAATCAATGCTAGACAAACAATGTATTAGTTTACAATATCATAGGATAACCACAAATTCGAAGGCTCAAATCGAGTCCATCAGTGGTAAATACAATTTTCTATTTGGCTCAAGTGGCTGTTGAATATCAAGTGGTGCTAAGTTCCTCCAAAGCACCTAATGACCCCCCCCAGCCTTGGAAGGAGTTTCACCACAGTCTCAGAAGAAATCCCAGTTGTGCCTTTAATTCTTTTGGCCCTTCATTGCTGCCCAAATACAAATGCAGGCCAGGGATTTCCAGTGGCCACGTGTTATTGCACAGAGAGGTCTGTTCTAAGCCAGACTCTTATGGCTAAGAAGGTGTGAGATTAGCCCTTAAGTAGTGGTCTAGCATTAACGTGGTCTATCAAAGCATGTTAAAAAATAGCTCCTTAGTGATTATGTACCAGCTACTAGTTATCACTAACAGAGAAGGCAAAAGGGCAGCTTCACATTTCACATGAAAGACTAGCATTAGCTGGGCCTGGCTTGCCAGCTTACCTTTCACATAAATCTAGTGATTATTTTCATTCAGACCCAGAAAAAAGCGATTTCTTACCAGTCTTTTCTTCACATAGGTTTGTGTGTAGCATTAAAATCATTATGGGTTAAATACTAGGCCATAAAGGCAAAACTGTTTAACTCTCCTTTGCCAAAACAGAAACCATGCCTGTTCTGACGCCTGTCCAGTTTCCAAAAAGCAAAACATACACACACCTTTGCTATTGCACATCTTTCACACAGACTTGTGCATGTATAATATATATATATTTAAATATGCTACACATAACAAAGACTATGGCACTTTACAGAATACAGGTTTTAACAAAGATCATTACACCACAGCTGTTTGAAAACTATACAAAAACCCTTCCACAATTAATGTAACATTGTTGAATTAGCACACAGGTTTAAAGAATCCACAGAATCCAAGGCAGGTACCTCTCCGTTCTTGGAGTTCATTGAGAAGCCCAGCCCATCACTAAACTTTAAGCACAAATGCAGGCAAATATAAATAAGACTGTTCTGGTAGTTGTAATGGTCCAGGTATATTAGATTTTTAGACTGAGGCAATTAGGTGATCGATAGAAATTTATTAGAAAAATAGGTGTGGGTCAACAATCAGTCTATTTTTAACACATTTCTTTCTACATATTCCTCATATTCAGTGGTTTTTAATCAGCTCCGCAGCTTTGGTTTAGAGTAGCCTGATTTCAGATGTTCCATTCACCCCAACCAAAGCCTGCTAAGGGACCGAAGGTCTCAGAGGCCCAGCGTGACACCTCTTACTCTTTCTTGGCTATGGATATCCTGCCTGCACTCTGCTTGCTAAGTCAGTGGTTTGGGGGTTTGTGTGTGCATGTGCTTTCTGTCTTCTGTTGCATTCAGACTGATGAAGGAGATGCTGTCAAGTGACTTTCTTCTGGCCAAGAGAGGTCACATTTGTACTTGTGACTTTTGTGATACACTACCGCCTTAGCCAAAGAGCAGTCAGCTGGGCAGCAGAGATGAGGGACTTGCTGAAAGAATCCTCCAGGCTCATGGCAACTTGTCTTTAGGAGTGAGAGGAAAATGGGTTCTCTGCCTTACACAGAAAAAAAAAAGTGAATCATCTGATGATACACTTAAGAAAAATATTTGTTTTTAGCAAGATGATTTGCCTGATGAAGCCAATGGCTTTTTTTTACATGAAAATTATTGCCAGGGTTTGAAAAGTTACTGTGGTGGCATTCGGACTTGGTTAGAGCATAGACACGCTCCATCAGGTGCAGGATCCCGGTCCTGTGGCTGCCATAACCTGTTTCTGAGTGGTGTCAGAGATAGGGGTAATGTTTCCTGAGCCCTTAGCCTAGGCTGCAAACTGAACTTTGGACTAAGAATGGTGAACTCATTAAAGCCTGATTCCACACCCTAGATGGATTCCAGTAGAGGCCATGGGCAAGAAGAGAGTAAGACACTAGTTGTTCCACTCCACTGACATATAGAGCACTTAGTTTTTCTGCAGCCAGGTATGGTTAGACTCACACAGCTCTAAGGGACTCACTTTGGGCAAGTCTGTGAAATCTGAATCGGGGTTCTGTCTGATGGCACTTAGCACACAATACTTTGCCCAAACAAGGTGAGCAATTATGTTACATTTTCAAAATGAAGCAAGCCCTCAGATAAGCAGATTCATAAACCCAGAGACCTAATCCTTCCAGAAATCTGGCAGGTCCGTTCCACTTGCATAAGTTGCTATGGTTGCTATGGAGTGTTTCTGTATCATTCTGCAACTCTGACCTCAGAGAAATACCAGACTAGGCTCTTTCTGGCTACTGTGATCATTCCAAAGTAAGCTTGAGGTGATAGCTAATACCATTTTCCTGAATCAGTTGTATTGGTAATTTATAGAAACTAGATTAAAAGCACCTAAACCCTTTTTAACAGTGGTAGTTGATTCTTTTTGTAAACAGGTATAGGCAGGTGCTACGAGTTCAGTCTAGCTGTCTCTTTTTGCATTAACTTTCTCCTCTCTTTTCCTGGGAACGAAGCCTTTGATACAACTCGCCATTTGCAGCAATTTGATATAATTTCAGTCTGCCAAACACCAGTAACTAGAAAAACTTAAGTCCCATGATTAGCTCCTTTTTTTATGCTGCTGCTGGGGTTGAAAATATAGGTGACTACAGCATGGTTACCAAACAGTGGGAGGTCTCCCCACAAGTGCTGAGGTGCTCCCAGAGAACATCTGAGGGAGCCGCAGCTGGGAGACCTTTGTCCCTGGAATGAGGAAACAGTGAGGTTTCCGTTGGCAGTTTGTGCAGTCCCAGCCCTCAGACAAAGACATGATCTCTGGTACAGGAGGAGCCTGGGCCGGTACTGGTGCTAGCCTGGCTGCTGGGAAGCAGAATGGGTTTGTCCCCACTAGCAGGATTTTGTACTTTATTCTCATGATTTTACGGGTCCTTATTCTTTAATCTTGGAGTGACAGTTCAGTTGATTCACCTGGCCCTGGAATTCATCCTCGACTAAGTTCCACACCAGGATTCCACAGTTCCTGCCAGACCTCTTTGTGAGCTAAGCCAGAGGTCGGGTCTTGCTATGCCCTTTATCGCCCATCCTATCCCCAGTAAGTGTGTAGTCTTCATTGTAGTCTCCAACTGAGATGCCATGAACAAACCAGGAGGAAACAAAAACCCCACACCTCATGCTGAAGCTCACAGGCTGACAGCCGTGTGGCAGAAACACACCTCAGAGCAGCCAGCGAATCCGGCTAACAGCCGCTTCTGTGGCCAGAGAAACGCTGCTTTCATGGTTGAGATCAGCATCCTTCGCTGAGCCTTGAGGGAGAAGCGGTCCGACAGAACTTGCCAACTACACGTCAGGGTTTATGCACTGTTTTCCTGTTCCGTCCCTTATAGTTCATGCTGTGGCCCTTGTGTGCAGTCACTTTGCTTGCTGGATGTTGCTCCTCACTGGTCCTGTTAAGGCTCAGGGCTGTGGAATGTGGCTTTTGGTAGGTAAAGGCTAGTTCTTCACTTGACTCAAACGGCGAAGCCAGAGGTGGACTTTCACAAGGTTACACAAGGAAGGAAATGGCACTAACGTCTCTTCTAAGTTAAAGGAGGCAGATGAGGTTTTTTCCCTCTTCAATCTCCTCCTGTACTTTGTCACTGGAGGTTGCGATCTCTGCTTGTGCGGAGAAGATGGCACAGATGAAGGTGAGGACTGTCCCACCGATGGCGGTATAGAAGGCCCAGCCCAGGGAGCAGTCTCCAGGTTTGTAGGCCGATGCATAGTGTCCACAGTAGGCAACGGCCTTCTGGCAGCCCCAGCCGGCAGGGTAGAGTATCAAGCCGAGGATGAGGAACAGGCCTGGGGGCAGAAGAGAGAAGAGGTTACAACCCCGTGGCTGCGCAAGGAAAGTGAGTGGACAGGTTCTGTTGTCAGTTACTTGATTTGCCTGCTTTGGGCTGTGGCATCCTTTCTCCAATAGCAAGTGTCAGGGGCTGTTTTATGCAGCTAATCTGACCTGACCAAGAACTATTATCACTTTATCAGAAACATTTGTAGCCTCTTTTGTACATGTTGGAATGGGTACCACACTCTCTTCTAGAAAAGCAAATGAACTTGTTACTGTCCCTTCTCATAGGGCTCTTATTGAGGTGAGCATTTCCCTTCTGGTCTAAGGCAGAGGTCAGCAAACTAAGGCCAAGGAAATGTGGCCTTGTTTTTGTAAATAAAGTTTTATGGGTTCCCTATGGCCTGCCAAATCTAAAATACTATTCGACCATTTGCAGAAAACGTTTGCCAATCCCTGGTCTAAGGAAATTCACACAGAACTATCTAATGTCACCCTGGTTAAATGTGGGAGACCAGATTGTAACCTAATGCCAATGCTTTAAACAAGCCCATAGGAAATGCCATCAAACAGACTCCTAACTACCAATTGCATGCTTGGGACAAGTTTTATATTGACATGAACATTTAAAAACAAAAAACATCTGCAAACTTAAGACTGAGTTTACCTAAAAGCTTGAGTAGACACTAATAAGCTGTTTCCATTTTGCTGACCCCCTCCGCCCCCGCCCCGTCATCCTAAATGTCCAGTTTTCTATTCCTTACAGCTTTATTGCCCACTGTGGAACAGAGTTATTTTCCTGCCAGCCTGGTGGGTTAGGAGCTACTCCAGGGCCAAGACTAAGGTAAGGCACAAAATGTAAGTCTTAGGTGTCTGCTGTGTGCGGTGGGAACCTGAGAATCAGTGCATTGCCTGCATTGCCTTAGTCCTGGCCCTGGGGCGACCATACAACAAGGCTTATAAGGAGGCCTGGAACCGGAAATGACAATGGCAACTGAGGCCCCCAAATCTTACCCAGCGAAATTTTCTCAGTTGAAAGGATGCTGCAGGGTGGCTTTATTCTATTGGGGGGGGGGGCGTCTCTCAAAAGTGACACCCACATGTCAAGATCGCTAATTTATAACCCAAAATACCTGGTTTTTAGATACCATAGACTAGTAATTCTATCCCTATAAACTAATTTGGGCTCAATTCTCCTTTCCTACCTTTACTGAAATTCTCTGGGTTTGCCACACCAAAGCTTCCAAGTCACTTAAAGCACCTTCCCCACAGAAAGAACATGACTGAGTCTGTGGTATTAGGTTTGAAGAGGATCGGGGACACATTTGAAACCACAAATCACAACATTCATAGGGCTGTCTTCACCCTGTGATGGCATCTTCTCACCAAGTACGGCAGTGCACTGCTGGAGTGGGTTTTTGGGTCTACTGTCCCTACTTCCCAAATGAATCCCATTATTCTACTCTGAAGGCCTCAGGGAGCTTTCTAGCATGGGAGCGATAGAGGGAATCTGCTCCTACGCTCCTTTTCTGAAGAAGGGTGCTTCACAGAAGCAGCTTTGTAACCCTGCAACCTTCTATTTCTCTGCAGGTTGGAGCACTGGGAGGCAGCGAAGTGTAGCTAGGGAAACGCGATCCAGTGTTGGGAAGCGTAAATGAAAGGTGCAGCAGACTGAGGCATCTTGGAAAGATGCCATTAGAAGTGACTGAGAGCATAGAGCGAATTCCCCCAAGGATAAGGCAGCCAGGGAGAGAGTGTTGGCACTCTGGAATGGAATATACAAGGTCTTGAACCAGCAATCCTGGTTTAGGTGTCTGGGGTCAGTGCCAAGGCTAGAAATCACATAGCAGGAAAGGCCCTTTAGTCCAGTGTGAGCTAGAACACAAACCAGCAAGATGATGGACCACAGCAGACTCACTAAATTAAGACATGGTCAGATGGTAGGTAAGAGCTCGGAATTGGGAGTAAGACAGAGGTTTGAATTCACCTCTGACATTTATAGGGTAAGTCTCTTAACCTAAGTATGATTTCTCACCTGTAAAACAGACTAATGCTTAACTCTTGTGGTGGTTATGAGTACTGAAGTATGTGCAGAGTACTTTCTGCATCCTAACAGTAACAAGAGAACTGGAATATAGACCAGCACCCAACAGTAGGTAAAGCCTTTCGCAGGCCTCTCCCGTACAGAGCACAGCCTAGAGTTTACCAGTTATGAATAAGCACGGCAGCTTATTTTTGAGGGTATAATTTAAAAGGTGTAATAATTTGGAGGGAGGGGAGAACCCAGGTTACAATTTAGTCCCTTTGAAAGAACAAACTGTCCTCATCTGAACAGATCTTACTCAGCTGGGGAGATCCAAAAATTACTGAGCTAATTCTTTTATGTTTCCAAAGCCTTTGATAAACCCTCGTTAATCCCCCTTGTCCCCTAGGAAACCTCCCCCAGGGTACATGGAACCTTGTTGTTTCTCCCTTAGATCCTAAGCTACCACTGTGGGAACCAGGGGGCACCCTCACTGGGACTTATTAAGGATTCAGAGGTGCTCTAGTGCAGGCCCCAGGCCAGGGAACGTGAGCTGCTCTCCCCTGTGAAGACCAGAGTTTGTATTTGAATTGTAGCTCCAATTAAATATTAATTACACATGTTGTTTGCATTAATCTTGCATACTGGGCTTGTTTAAGCCACGTAATACATTTTAATACGATAGAGACAGGAGATGGAAAGCAGGGGCTACCCTGTACTAGGCTCACAAAATACCTTAATTTGGCTGTCTCAGATCCTTCTGGGAAGTACGCAGGTTTCAAATAATTAAATAACATACTCCTTATTTTAATATCAGACCCCTTTTCACAGTATAGCCAGGAACATTCACTCAGTACTTCTCCCTAGCGCTCCTAGGTGCTCCCTCTTCTGAGAGCTCAGCTGAAGCTCCCTAAGTGCTTTAGGCCATCTTCAAATCTAGTGGCTGTTACTGGCCAACTTGTGAATGGCAGTAGGGAGACTTATCAGATAAGGGTGCCATGCTTATGAGTTTGGCAAAAGCCTCAGCTTGAATATTTATAAGCCCACAGGGCATTCCACGTGGGAGGGTAATAAAAGTGGACTGTGGTATGTCTCCAGGTCCCAGTGGATGTGACGTGTGCTGAAACCACATGCTCGCAACCTGGGCATTCAGCCTAGACAAACACACACAGTGCCTTATCCCAACTCTCAGTGGGGCAGGGAGGAAAAGTGGCCGCTATCCTACCCGGCTCCTGACCTCTCCTTCCAGCACTACAGGGTTGTCATTAGCATGGCTGATGCCATGAAAAGGCAAGACCTATGTATGATAAGGAAAAGAAAAGAATGGACCTCCAGGTAGACAAAAAAGGAAAGTCACATTTGTTTGGGTATTTAGGAAAAGGCTCTTTTATCAAAGGAATTCCAGACAGTTTAGTGACTCAGGCTGCCCTCTCAGGGGACTGCCACACAGGGCCTCACCTCACAGGGTCCTGCTTCTGCACTCCTCTTGGGGCCCAGCGCAGCTTCTGAGTAGCCATTCGGTCCTGATAAGCATCCCTTAGTGAAGCACAAACACTACCCAAACATATTCTTTTACAAGGAAGCAAAATTGCTGAGAAAAGACCCATAAAGGTTTCCCGTCCAGCAGAGGTAAAATCTAGCTCCCTCCCTGGTCTCCAGGCCCCATGTGATCCAGCTGCTTCTTACTCGTCTGAATTCGCCTCTGCCTTTCACACCCTTGTTCTCTGTTCAGCCACATGGGCCACTTGGCTCTTCCTTGCACACATATCAGGAATGCTCGGCCTTTGCACTTGCTACTCCTCTCACCTGCCGTGTTCTCCTACCACGTAGCTTTCAGGTGGTCTTCAGATGCTACCTCCTTGGTGTGGTCGCCTGTTCCAACCTATTTAAAATGCCAGCCACCTGCGTCTCCCCTCCTCACTTTGTCACCTTCCTGGCACCCTTATTTTGGCTGGCATCCACTTCCACCCTAGACTTGAAGCTCCAGGGGGCGGGGACTCTTGTATATTTGGTTTACTTATGAAGCTAGTGTTTAGAAGGTGAGGTGCGCTCAGGAGTGAGTTTTATATATGAGCTGAGCCAGAAAATGGTCTGATTTCCTTCTGTAGTTTTAAAAAGGCAGTTCCTGAAGTCAGGCCGGCCCATAGTGGTCTCTGGGGCCTTTCTACTGCCTTAATGCAGCCTTGTCTCGGGGCGGGGGTGGTGTGTGTGTGTGGTGGAGGATGACAGTAAGGAACTAGGACAGTGGGCGTTCGCTTTTCTTTTGACTGGTATCTCTCCCTGGTGCCTGGCTGAGCAGTGGCAGGCCCAGCTGGGAGAAGGGAAAGCAGACAGAACAATCCTGGCCAGTAACCAAGGAAGAGAGCTACTCCGAAATGAACTGAGGGTGCCATCTCTGCCACGGCCTGACCGGACAGATATACCCAGGATTGTACTGCCTTCCACAACCTTAAAAGATACCCTGATCCTCGTGTCCTCTAGCTCCTCTCTTGCCAACTGCCTCCCAATTCACTGTACCAAGAGAATTAGAAGATGCCAGCATCTGTTCACCATGGGGTTCCCTGGGGGTGACTCAATCTTATCTGGGGAAGGAAAGAGTAAATATAAAGGAACTGATGGCTAGTCACTGGGACTACCCTACAGATGCCACCACATGCTGGAGATGGAAGCCTGATCGCTTCACTGAAGTCAGCATAGGGCGGCTTTCTCCTGATCAGTGGGCACCAGCTACTACAATGCAGCGTCTGTCTTGTCCCTCTGCTATTGTAATATTTTCCCTACCTGGAATGAGCTTTCAGATTCAACCCTGGACTCCCATCTGCTGCACAGGAAATTTCAGAGTCTCTATGGGCAACTTAAACATGTGGTTTGGGTTTAACTCAAATAATTAGATTCCATGAGCTGTGTCTCATCACTGCTTTTCCAGTGCCAAAAATCATAGAAGGTGCTAAAAAAATGAATGAGACACACCGGGGAAAGTTAAGTCATAGT